GAATTTTAAAGCTGTTAAAAATTAGAAGGAAATAGGGGATATGTTTATAAATCTGAGGTGGGCAAAGTCTCTGAGTCAATATGCTAAATGCAAACGCAATAAAGAAAAATATTCACAATTTAACTCTGGACAAAGTTCCTAGACCATAACAATGGTCAAGGAACAGAAACAGAGAAAATGTTTGTAACAAATAATTAAAAACAAACAAAAATTGGAGATTGTTATAAGAAGATGTGGAAAAATGAAGGGCATGACAATTAGTTAAGTAGTTTTTAGAGAAATCTGGCAGCTTTTTGTTAAAATAATTATCTATACTAGAAAAATATTCCCACATATGTGCAAAGTGGTATTCAAGAGTATTTCTTTTAGCATTTTTTTTTCTTGGAAGAGTGAGAATTGCTAAGCGCCTCGGAACTGATGATTAAATTATGGTATATTCATAATTATGAAGCAGCTGAAAGAATAAGGAAGATCTATGCTTAGAGATAGGAAAATATTTTCAAGACATATTAACTTAAAACACATTGCTAAACTAAATGAACAGTACAATTTCATTTTTGTAAGCAAAACAAAATTTCACAAAATGAAACTGCATCATATATATATTTAGCTATACCTGTATCTTCTCATCTATCTACCTAGAAAGTGGTCTGGGAGGACACAAGCCAAATTGTCAGTGGTAGTTTCCCTGTACTGTGTAATGAAAAGGAAGGAAGATTAATGAAAGCCAAGAACTGAGCTTATGTGTATTTTTACAATTAAAATGTTTTCAAGTACAGCTTGTGAATTAACTTTTGTGTGTGTGTTTTACTTTTTAATTTTCATTTTTTAATAAAGTATAGTTGATGTACAATCTTATATAAGTTATATGTGTACAATATAGTAATTCACAAGTTTTAAAGATTATGTTCCATTTATAATTATTATAAAATATTAGTTATGATCCCTGTGCTGTGAAGTATATCCTTGTAGCTTATTTTATATGTAATAGACTGTACCTCTCACTTCCCCACTCCAATATTGCCTGCTCTTTGCCCCCTCCCCACTGGTAATCACTACTTTGTTCTCTATGTCTGGGAAATCTGCTTCTTTTTTATTATACTCACTAGTTCATTGTATTTTTTCTCTAGATTTCATCTAGAACTGATATCATACATTATTGATCTTTCTCTGTCTGACTTATTTTACTTAACACAATGCCCTCTAAGTCTGTCCATGTTGCTGCAAATGGCAAAATTTCATTCTTTTTTTTTTTTTAATGACTAAGTATTCTATTGTCTATAGATACTGCATCTTTATCCATTCTATCTATTGATGGACACAGGTTGTTTTCATATCTTGGCAATTGTAAATAATGCTGATTTGAACATTGACATGTACGTATCTTTTCAAATTAATGGGAATTGTTTGGAGGATATATACTCAGGGGTGGAATTTTTAGGTCATATGTTAGCTCTATTTTTAGTTTTTTGAGGAACCTTCATGCTGTTTTCTACAGTGCTGTACCAATCTGCATTCCCACCAACAGTGTACAAGGGTTCCCTTTTCCCCACATCCTCACCAACATGTGTTGTGTTCCTTTTGGTGACAGTCATTCTGACAAGTGTGAAGTGGTATCTCACTGTGGTTTTGATTGTATTTTTCTGATGATTAGTGATGCTGAGTATCTTCATATTACTGTTGGCCATCTGCCTTTCCTCTTCGGAAAAACGCCCATTTGTTCTTCTGCACATTTTTAAATAGAGCTGTTTGTTGTTGTTGAGTTGTGTGAGCTGTTTTATATGTTGGATATTAACCCCATTTCAGTCACATCATTTGTGAATATTTTCTCCATTCAGTGGGTTGTCTTTTCATTTTGTCAATGGTGCTGAAGTTTTCCTTCACTGTGCAAAAGCTTTTAAGTTTCATTCGGTCCCATTTGTTTATTTTTGCCTTTATTTCCCTTTGCTTTAAGATACAGATTAAAAAAATACTGCTGTATTTTAGGTCAAAAAGTGTTCTGCCTATGTTTTCCTCTAGGAGGTTTCTGGTTTTACATTTAGGTCTTTAATCCAATTTGAATTTGTTTTTGTGTATAGTGTTACAGGATGTTCTAATTTTATTCTTTTACACAGAGCTGTCCAGTTTTCCCAGCACCATTTATTGAAGAGACTGTCTTTTATTCCTTGTATATTCTTGGCTCTTTTTTAAAAAAAGCAGCAGAACTAAATATGATGAGCTAGCCCTAGGTAGGACATTTCAGTATCACCTCTCAGAGCAGGCAAAGTGATACATTGAGTCAGAGGCCTACAGGAAGATGGTCTTCACCTTTCTCATGTTATTCCAGAGTCAGCTATCTCTGCTAGATGTGAGAGCTTACTTCTTTTTTTTTTTTTTAATTTTTTTTTTTGAGAGCTTACTTCTTGTTGTTTGTTTATATTTAAGAAAGTACTTTGCTCAGTCTGTCTCATTAATTAACATTAACCGAGAGGTTGATGTGAGCCTCAGACCGCGAGAGAAAATTAGTAAGTTGGCTGAAGGGAAACCAAGGCTCTGTGAACAAAGAAAAGCAACTTGCTGAAGACATTAGAGGAGAAGAAAACTTGCTGAAATGATAAGAATCAAGTAAGGAGGATGATTAAAACAGGAGCCTCCTCAGTGAGCGCACAGCGACTTGGATGGATGTCTGCTTAGAGCCACTGGATGATGGCTAAATCTAGCCTAGATTTCTGACTGGTGAGAAGATGCATCTTACAAATGGAAAGGGTCAGTAGCAATGATATGCATATATGCACTGATGTATATCATCCTGAAGATAAACTTCAGCATAATGTTAAATACTCGGCCTCTATTTGTATGCAACTGGCGTGGACGTAGGGGCTGACTTTCCATCTACCCCAACCTAACAGGAGTGCCCATGTACCAGGTGATAAGGATGTGTTCTCAGTCTTCATTTGAGTTTGGTTAATAGCACTTCTTTCTCTCTTCAATGGTTTTCTCCTTCCTTGAAAGAAGAGTGTCAGGCTGGGCCAAACTGGGCCTTGGATTCCAAGTAGGAAGTTGACGAGTAAGAGGGCAGCTGAGTGAGGAGAGGAGGAAGCTTGGGACCTCAGCTCCATACTTGCCATACTGGTTAACTAGACCAGTCTAGTTAACAAGAACAGAGGGTGAAGTGTGTGATTTGAAGACCTTTGAGTTCCCTCTCTCCAAGCTAAGTCCTCCATACCAGAGTTTATCTGCTTGAGATCCATCTGTGTTAGTTAATGCCCCTGGGAATCAATTTTATCCTAACATCCGGCTGAGGACAGATACCATGCTGAAAATTATTATGATTGAAGAATTTAGGAAGTCAGGGTAAATGTATTTTATGAGTCACTCCTTGAGACTAGAGCCAAGGGCTAGCGCAGCTGTTGCTACATAGCAAGCATTTAATAAGTACATGAATGAATGGACGAACTGAAGGGTTCCGAGACTCAAAATATGGTTTTGAGGGTCCATGAGATATTTCAGGGCAGAAGATAAAACAGCCTCTGCAGACTTTGGGGACAAGAGAGCAGATTATTCAGAGGTCTGAACTGATTCTATTTAAGGAACTCCTCCTCCCCGCATTTTTCCATTTCTCTCCTGCTGCAATAGAAACACCTTCTAGGATCAAAGGGAGGTTTCCCAGGTTTAACTGTGCTCCCAGCAGAGCTTTGTGTGTTTTTTTTGTTTTGTTTTTTGTTTTTTTTTGCTTTGTGTGTTTTTAAACACCCAAGAGTTCACCTTAAAGAGATGGGAATACCAGACCACCTTACCTGGCTCCTGAGAAACCTATATGCAGGTCAAGAAGCAACAGTCAGAACCAGACATGGAACAACAGACTGGTTTTCAATTGGGAAAGGAATATGTCAAGGCTGTATACTGTCACCCTGCTTATTTAACTTATATGCAGAGTACATCATGCAAAATGCTTGGCTGGATGAAGCACAAGCTGGAATCAAGATTGCTGGGAGAAATATCAATAACCTCAGGTACCCAGATGACACTACCATTATGGAGAAAGCAAAGAAGAAGTAAAGAGCCTCTTGATGAAAGGGAAAGAGGAAAGTGAAAATGTTGGCTTAAAGCTCAACATTCAGAAAACTATGGTCATGGCATCCAGTCCCATCACTTCATGGCAAATACTTGGGGAAACAATACAAACAGTAAGAAACTTTATTTTTTGGGGCTCCAAAATCCCTGCAGATGGTACTGCCGCCATGAAATTAAAAGACGCTTGCTTCTTGGAAGAAAAGCTATGACTCACCTGGGCAGCATATTAAAAAGCAGAAACATCACTTTCCCAGCAAAGGTCCATATAGTCAAAGCTATGGTTTTTTCAGTAATCACGTATGGATGTGAGAGTTGGACTATAAAGAAAGCTGAGTGCTGAAGAACTCATGCTTTTGAACTGTGGTGTTGGAGAAGACTCTTGAGAGTCTCTTGGACTGCAAGGAGATCCAACCAGTCCATTCTAAAGGAGATCAGTCTTGGGTGTTCACCTGATGCTGAAGCTGAGGTGCCAACAGTTTGGCTACCTCATGCGAAGAGCTGACTCATTAAAAAAGACCCTGATGCTGGGAAAGATTAAAGGCAGGAGGAGAAGGGGATGACAGAGGATGAGACGGTTGGATGGCATCACCGACTCAGTGGACATGGGTTTGGGTAAATTCCGGCAGTTGGTGATGGACAGGGAGGCCAGGCATGCTGTAGTCCATGGGGTTGCAGAGTTGGACATGACTGAGCGACTAGACTGAACTGAAGAGTTCATTATGATAGTAACTCTGCCCTTCTCTTCCAAAGGAACCTGGTCCAGGAATCCGTGAGTTGTCTTAAGACCTGTTCAAATATAAGCACAAAAGGCATTTGAATGCTTGAGGTCTTAGAAAAAATTAAATTAAGGGTCTATTTCTATTTTTATTCAAAATCATTGAAATATAATTAACTGTACTAAACTTACCCATTGTAAGATTTTTTTGGCGTGCAATATTCTTGATTTGTCAACTGCTTTGAATGATGGATAAAATTTGGAAGGTGAGGCAGTGGAATAAGGGATGAATTTCAGGCTGCTTGTGTAGAAGGAGGTCTGAAAATTTGGAAGACTCAACTCCAGTGATGACATCTGAAAGGATACAATGAAGGTAAAAGAAGTTAGGTTGATTTGTAACTGGAAAGACAGAAAAAAGGAAAGACTGAAAAATAGATATTGGCCTCAAGTCTCTGATCTGTGGATCAAAAAGGAGGCAAATAAATAAGCAGTTAGGGAAGAAAATGAACAAATGTATAGGAAAAAACAGAGCTTTGATCAAGGAAATAATAAGAGGAGATTTAGGAGAGAAACTTGGTAGCAAAGTCAATGAGATGGTCTTCCACAGACATTAGCTGTTTTGAATCAGTGCTAAAATTCTTACCTCTTACCTGGTTTGATTCTTAATGGTGCACCTTTTAAAAATTTTTATTTTTTATATTGGAATATAGTTGATTGACAATGTTGCAATAGTTTCAGGTGCAGTACCACAAAGTTATTCAGTATATCTATCCTTTTTCAAATTCTTTTCCCATTTAGATTGTTGCATAATATTGAGCAGAGTTCTCTGTGCTATATGGCAAGTCCTTGTTGGTTATCTGTTGTCAATAGAGCAGCTGTGTACATGTGAATCCCAAACTCCCTAACTAGCCCTTCCCCCAACACTTCCTGCCTAGTAACCATGCATTCATTCTCTAAATCTGTGAGTCTGTTTTCTAAGTAAATTCATTTATGTAATTTATTTTTCGTTTCACTGCATACAAGTGATATTATATGATATTTCTCTTCCTTTGTCTGACTTACCCTTCCCACCAGGGTTGCAAATATGACTTAAAATGGTGCAGAGAGAGAGGTTCCTAGTGGCCTAGGGGTTAAGACGTGGCATTTTCACTGCCATGGTCCAGGTTTACTCCCTGGTTGGGGAACTAAGATCCCACAAGCTGAGTGGTGTGGCCAAAAAAAAAAAAGTGCAGATAATCAGCTTTACTTTCTTTATATATGATCTAAGTGATATATTTTACATATTGACTTTCAATGGGAGTATTTGGCCCACAAATAATGAAATTAATGGATTTGGATTGGATACTTCCTAGAGCAACTATGCTGGAGGCAAATCAAAGATATTATGTTTAATTTTAGGAAAATACACTGTTTAAAATCAATCATTTTATTTTTTTCTAATTTATTCAAACCTTTATTATATAAACTTTAGGTATATAGTGTTACAATTCAACATATGCAGAGTGATCATCACTCCAAGTCTAGTTACCATCCACCACCATGCAACTGGCCCCATTCACCTATTATATTTCATATTGCTTCCTTTAAAATTATAAGAAAGAGATAAATGCTAAAAAAAAAACCTGACTATTTTTAAATGAAATAAATTTAAATGTCTAGTTTCTTGAAAATTTTAATTCACAGTTTATGCAAAAATCATTTTCATTTGGCTGCTGACTTGGTAAATATTTGGAACATAAATTCAAAGTATGGATACAAAGATTTTTTTTAACACACTCTGCTTAAAGGGCTTTCCAGGTGGCTCAGTGGCAAAGAATCTGCCTGATGTACAGGAGTTGCAGTTTCGATCCCTGGGCCAGGAAGATCCCCTGGAGAAGGAAATGGCAACCGACGCCAGTGTTCTTGCCCGGAGAATCCCAATGGACAGAGAAGTCTGTCAAGTCACAGTCCAAGGCATCATCACCAGGAGTCTGACACGGCTTAACAACTGAGAACATGTGCAAGCTTACTTAAATCTGTGAATTCCCTCTATCATCTGACTTCTGCAGCTTAGTGATGGTTTAGATTGACACGGAACCTTAATTTATGTGACTTTATCTTGAGAGATTTCAGCAAATCCCCATTTATTGGGCCATTAGTAAACTTTTGAATCGAATGCTGAAATGAGTAAAAGAGTGAAAACATAGTTTAGTTGCAAAATAAACATCATCTTGAAGACAAAGTGTTCTAGTCATGGATTCTTTTTTTTAGATAAAAAATATTAATCTCATGAATCTGGCTATGATGGATCTGGGGTATCAGGATCTCAGATCCTGAAAATTTGGCTTGCATTGTCTGTATGAGGCAGGAATTTCAGTGTCTGCAAACATCTCATTCAATTTCTTGGTTTTTAATTTTAAAAATTTTCGTAGTTCTTGCTAATGAAAAACACCGTTCTGCCTGTGTTAGCCAGTTTTGTCCTCCAAGACGCTAAGCGGGTGCTGAGACAGAACTAGAAAAGCAAGAGATTTATTAGGGTAAAGTCTTGCAAAATTTGAAGTAGAGAGCAACAGGAGTAGTCAGAGGGGAAAAAAAGTAAAAGTAAAGTGAAGTTGCTCAGTCGCGTCAGACCTTTTGCAACCCCACGGAAGCCGGCTTCCCTGGTGGCTGAGACTGTAAAGCGTCTGCCCACAGTGTGGGAGACCTGGGTTTGGTCCCTGGGTCGGGAAGATCCCCTGGGGAAGGTAAATGGCAGCCCACCCCAGTATTCTTGCCTGGAGAATCCCATGGACGGAGGAGCCTGGCGGGCTACAGTCCATGGGGTCGCCAAGGGTCAGACATGACTGAGCGGCTTCACTTTCACTTTCATTATGGAAGCCTGTAGCCTACCAGATGCCTCCATCCATGGAATTTTCCAGGCAAGAATACTGGAGTGGTTGCCATTTTCTTCTCCAAGGGATCTTCCCAACCCAGGGATCGAACCCGGGTCTCCTGCACTGCAGGCAGATGCCTTAACCTCTGAGCCACCTGGGAAGCCCCTTCATTATCCTGATTTCACAGATGAATGGGGCTGCGAGAGGTGAAGTAACACTGCCCGAGTCCATCCTTTATCAGAGCTAAGGCTTTCTTCACCAGACCACAACTGCTTCACTTGCTTGGCATATGTAATCTCACATACTTCATCTTGATTTTTCTTCTCTTACACTTCCCTTGTGGCTCAGAGGTTAAAGCGTCTGCCTGCAATGTGGGAGACCCGGGTTCATCCCTGGGTCGGGAAGATCCCCTGGAGCAGGGAATGGTAACCCACTCCAGTACTCTTGCCTGGAAAATCCCATGGAAGGAGGAGCCTGGTGGGCTACAGTCCATGGGGTTGCAAAGAGTCGGACACGACTGAGCAACTTCACTCACTCACTTTGATAAAGTATAACATTGACAAAAAGTTAAATATAACTTGTATGCACATTCTAGTAGATAATTATTAGGCAAGTACTTGTTTTAGCACGAGCAGAACATTGCAAACACGCTGGAAGTCTGTTAAGCCACTTTCCAATCACAGTCTCATTTGTTTCCAGAAAGGGAAGTTTTGAGGGGACAAAAAATGAAAATAACTGTGATGTCTAGCCATGGGTGAATGAGTAAACAAATTGGGGTGCATCCAAACAAAGGAATGTACCTCTTAACAGTATAAAAACTGCCCACGGATACACATGACAACAGAAATGGCTCCTAAAATAGTTATCCTGAATGAAAAAAGCAAGACACAAAATGGTACATACTATACGATCCAGTAATACAAATCCTAGAAATGTAAATTAATCTATAGTGACTAAAAAGCAGATTAGAGGTTGCCGAGAATGGACGCAGTGGAGGGATAAACTATGAAGGGGCACCAGAAATGTTTTGGGGAGATGCAAATATCCTGTATCCATCTCTAAAAACTCATTGAAGGGTACACTAAGAAGGATGCAGTTTACTGTATTAGAATTACGCCTGTGGGGTTTCCCTGGCAGTCCAGCCATTAAGACTTTGCCTTTTAATCCAGGGCGAGAGGGTTCAACCCCTGAAAGACTGAGCATAGCACAGAAGCCAGACTGCACCAAATTCAGTAAAGACTGTAAACCCTGACCCACATTAACATGGAGAGAATTAAACCTGCAAAATATCAGAGGGGAAAGCCCTCTAATGACCACAAGGACAGTCTCAGGCTATGGTTGTATATGTGTCTAGTTTTCCTTGTGTTTTCTGTCAAGTTTTGGTTTATGTACTTTGAAACTGTTTTATTATTTGCTTACAAATGTAAACATGGTGGCATCTTTGTGAAAAATTGAATCATTTATCAATGTGAATTTACTTTATTCTTGGTAATTTTTTTCTTTAAGAGCAAATTTTGTCTAATATTAATATAGCTATATCTACCATGTGTTTGCTAGAATTGCACCGTGTATCTCTTTCAGTTTAGTTCAGTTCAGCTCAGTTGTGTCCAACTCTTTGCGACCACATGAAATGCAGCACGCCAGGCCTCCCTGTCCATCACCAACTCCTGGAGGTTACACAATCTCATGTTCACTGAGTCGGTGATGCCGTCCAACCATCTCATCTTCTGTCATCCCCTTCTCCTCCTGCCTTCAATCTTTCCCAGTATCAGGGTCTTTTCCAATGAGTTAGTTCTTTGTATCAGGTGGCCAAAGTATTGGAGTTTCAGCTCAACATCAGTTCTTCCAATGAACACCCAGGACTGATCTCCTTTAGGATGGACTGGTTGGATCTCCTCGCAGTCCAAGGGACTCTCAAGAGTCTTCTCCAACACCACAGTTCAAAACCATCAATTCTTCGGTGCTCAGCTTTCTTTATGGTCCAAATCTCACATCCATACATGACTACTGGAAAAACCATAGCCTTGATTAAATGGACCTTTGTTGGCAAAGTAATGTCTCTGCTTTTTAATATGATGTCTAGGTTGGTCATAAGTATGTCTCTTTATGTTCTTTAAAATTTTTTTTATTTTTCTATTTTTAATGCAATTTTTAAAGGTTACTTTCCATTTACAGTTATTACAAAATATTGGCTGTATTTGCCATATTGTGCAATACATCCTCAAGCCTGGTTTACACCCCATAGCTGGTGCCTCCTGCTCTCCCATCCCTATATTGCCCTCCAACTCTCCTCTCCTCTGAAAAACCACCAGTTTGCTCTCTACACCTGCGAGTCTGCTTCTTTTTTGTTGCAAATTTTTAGATTGCACATGTAAGTGATATTATACTGTATTTTTTTTCTCTGACTTATTCTGTTAGCATAAGACCCTCCAGCTCCATCCATGTTGCTACAAATGGCAAAATTTCTTTTCTTTTTTTTTTTAATGACTAAGTAGCATTCCG